TTTTCCCGGGCCCCCCCCCCCCCCCCCCCCCCCCCGCTGTACATGAAATTTTTTCTCGCTTATATTTGCTTCCCGACTGAGTCTCCCTTCCAGAATTTGGTTGCACGCACACGACACGGCGCGGGGAGGGTTGGCGGCGGACCTGACACGACGCAAGGAACTCCAGGAGGTGGTCGAACGTCTCCTTCTGGGCGTCGAACGTCTCCAGCTGGGTGCTCACGTAGGCCTGCATGTGGCAGCGTTCGCCCGCCGTGGGCATGAGAAACGAACGGAGAGGGTGAGCTCGTCAAGGGCCAACGCTGACTTGTATATATATCCCCTTGAGATAGGGCTGGTGAAGTTAATCTCGAAGACTGACTAAGGGGCTCGGTACCCTCGTCGAAAACACGAGAAATCCGGCTGTACGGTAGTCCCATCACGACTATTCCTTAGGCGATTCTGGATTCTTCGTGGTCTGCGTCAGAGTAAAGAGCCCTTTTACAGCGGTACCCTAGAGAAAAACCGACCCCGGCTAATTAACCACCTTACCGCACCAATAAGGGGTGTCGCGGAAAGTAGGACGTATGCATGGGCCCGCCGCAAGCAAGACTCACCTCAAAAAACAGCTGCTTCCATGTCAACCCGTGCTCGGCGATCTGGCAGTTTTGCCAGCCAAGCTTCTCCACGCATCGCCGTTTCCAGTAGTTCTCGTCAAACACGTACAAAGCTCCTACCTTCCACCCGTGGAAGCAGCAAATAGAAAGCGAGTTCTCGTTTAATGTGCACGCCAACGGCTTGCAAGTTGCTGCCGATGTTGCGCCTTCATCCAATATTGTTGAGATGAAGCACGATTGACACGGGGTCATGATGGATGGGGCAGGATTTAAAAGAGAATCTAGAAAAATAATAGGGAGGGGGCACGCAGACCCTAACCCTAACCCTAACCCTAACCGCAAAGCGCGGATTGAATACTATATCCCATATGTTTGCTTATCAATTTTGCTGTGTAGACTACTGATGACCACCGTCAATACCGCCATGCATCCTCCGTCACCTTTGGATCCAAGTCAGTACTCAAGCCAGCGCTTATCAGCTGCAAAAACTTCGCGGGTATGACCCTGCCCTCTTGTTGCTGAGGATGTGGCTGCTCATCATCTCCCTCCAGCTTGGTATCTCCCCCCTCGCCCTCGACCATCCCGCCAAATCCTGCATCACCCCCGGCAGTGTCGGTTCGCTCCGCCGCGCTAGCGTCAACTCCGCCGCCACCGCCGCCGCCGCCGTCCTTCGTTTCGTCTTGGCGACGATCGCCATTCTCGTCGTCGTTCTTGCGGTAACCGACATTGAACCCACCGGTGGCGTCGTGCGCTGGCAACCGTTCGAAGTTGTCGACGATAACCTTGACGCACTTGATCGTCAGCGCCTCTCGCGCCGGATTGTCCTGGCATCATGCAAGGCCAAGGTTGCAGTTGAGGCAAACTTGCGCGTGGCCAAGGGAACATTCGAGTCACCGTTCGAGGAGCACGTATACACATTTTGTTGTGTGTTTCGAAAGAAAAAAGGAGTGCTGTCACGTCCACTGTTGTGCGCGCCGTGGTACGGAAAACGTACGCTTGAGAACATTTACTCATAGATGCGTGCACAGAAGACGAGGCGGAGGCACGCTGCCGTGTCACAACTCGAACGCTGATAAAGTGCATGGTGCAAATCAGGTGCTGTAGGTTCGTATGGATGTAGAGCTCAGTAATCAAGCCAAGGATGAAGACCAGAAAACCATCACAAGAACAGGAGGAGCAGTACATGGTCCACGGTGCCGTGAAACCACGTCTACATAGGAAAGCTGTTCTGTCGTGAAGCAGAAGATGCAGGAAACGATACGTGTTTTTGATTGGATACACCCCCTTGCATCGGCAGATTAGCACCCTCAAGATACAAGCCAATCCCCGAGATAACACAAATACCCGAACCCTGCTGAAACCTCGCGCTGTTTCATCGTCCTCTGCACCGGTGCAACGTTCAGTCCAAGGACGGCCGCTAAAGAAGGATCCATCAAACTAATGCTGCAGCAACGCTGCAGTCTACAGTTTCCCGTAGTCTACTGCATACCTCCGCAGACTCACACACCGTACAGTCTACTGCATGTGCCTCTGCAGACTACACACCAAATCCCGATTTGAGCATATGACTTCTGTTGGCAAGAACGTCGCCGCAGGGACAATCAGTAATGGAGGTCTATTCGACCCACCTTGGCCGAGCGGTCGAATACTCTTGAGGCGCTCTCAGTATTGCTGAAAACCCTCGGCTGGAAGCGCTTGATTTGGTCGGCTAGGGACGGCACATTTGTTGTGCCGCCGACAGAAAGCTCGCCCCGTGTCGCCATATCCGGCTGTTGCGCGGAGAGAACTCTCCGTTTTTCAGCTGCAGGACTATTGTTTTTGGTGTAAATTAACCACTTCTGTGGCTGCTGCTAAATCTAGAAAACGTTTGAGAGAGGGCTACACGCTCTGTGGTTCGGCAAAGCTCTCCCTGTGCTCACGAGGTGCCGGAGACCGGTCACAGAGATTGGCCGGGCGTCAACTACCTCCACGAGCAGCAGCAGCAGCAGCAGCAGCAGCAGCAAGAGAGAGAGAGAGAGAGGAGAGGGTACAACTCGCCTTTACGCTGCTGGTAAAAACCTCATTGTCCTTCCTTTCGGAAGTGTTATTGGCAAGCCGAGAGAGCCTTGTTGCGAACGAACGGCCTAGCGTCGGCCCCAGGCGCACACGACGAGCCCGACGAGAAAAAAATATGACGGTTTCATATCACTGCCTGCGACCCCTGGGGGGTGGGTGGGCCACGGAGCCCCCTCTACTCTCCTCTTTTTGGGTTTTTGGGAAGAATGGGTCAGAGAGGCTTGCCCTCTCTCTCGCCTCTCTCCGACGTGCCCATCCCCGTTGAACCAGCTCCCCAAACCCACACCGCTTCCTTCCTTTGACAACACCTACCGCCGGCGTGCAGCTTCCCGTTACTTTAGGTGATTCCGGTGACAGGTGCAGAACCTCCCTTGTAACCTCTCTCTGCCCTCTTTTTTCCCACGGGTGGGCCGGTTTGGGCCAGATTTGCTAGCCTTCCCTCCCTCCCTGTCGAGTTCTCTCCCGAGAGATTGCAACACCGAGCATCAGCCGCAATGGAGCTGGCCACAGGGAGAGTCGTCAAGGAGTCGTCGACTGGTCCTGGTGGCCGTGGTTCTGAGGCGGGGCGCTACGGTAGTAGCAGGTCCGAGGGGGACAAGAGCGGCGGCGGCGGGGCACGGGACTACGCCAGAGAAGGAGGAGGAGGAGGCCGGAGTAGCGATGGGGACCGTGATAGGGACAGGCGTGGTGGCGGCGGCGATAAGCAGCAGTACAGGCGAAAGGGATCGTCGGAATCGAGGGGTGGAAGCGGGAGTACGCGGCACTACGGCGACAGCCGGCACGACAAGGCGTATCGATATACCAGCCATCGCGATCGGAGCAGCAGGTAGGAGAGAGTGCCTCATTTTTGCCACGTTTTTTTTTTTGCAACACCCTCCTCCCCCCTCTCCCCTGCGTACACTCTTTCGGAGAATCAACGTTTTTGGCGCGCGACGTTGGCGGGAAGGGTGCACCATGAGAGGAGCGAGGTCTTATCTTGAGTGTCGGCGTAACCAAGAGTTTACTGCAAGGTTGGCGGGGGAGTTGTACGGACTTTTGTTGAAACGATCGTCTCGACATTTCGCGGAGGCGCGGAGGCGCCCGTGTGACCTGACTCGAGAACCTTTTTTTTTTTTTTTTCAATGGGTGGATACATCAACACACCGCATCGTTTCATTCATGTCGCAAGTAATAGCGTTCGCCCCCTTGGTAGGGGTGCGTCTTTGCAACGTGGCAACAACGTGGGGTGCAGCCGAAACCATTGCCTCTAGTCTAGGCACCATTCGTTAAGTCTTGGTGCCTCCGTGGGCACTCTCCGAAAGAGCGAATGTGCACGTGCCACCGACAGCAGTTTCTTGACGCCAGCAGGAGCACACGTCTTGTACATATACCGAAGAGGCAACGCGGTCGTGCGGACGACGACCTCGCAAAGATGAACGCGCGCCGCTGGCGCCGTTGGCATCAGAGCAAACCATATTCAGGCCCCGAGCCGAGTGTTGTCATACGTAGTGTAGACACTTTAGTTACGCCAGCATCCTTGCATGGCACCTATTACAGTTTCAGTTTGCATACATAGCCCCCGACACCGCTGGAAGGGTGGATTGGGTTCCCGATGCGGAATATTCGGAGGCGGAGGAGGTGCGACTGTGTTCTTTGGCTGGTTTGAGAGGCGTGTCGGGGGTTTGTAGCTCCAACTTGCTTGTCTGATCGCCGCGGTGTGTAGCGGAGAAAATGCGGCTCCTGTGCATCAGAGCATCCAAGACAGACTTTCGGTCATCCCGCGAAATTGCAGGTCGCACACCGTGTTTGCTGAAAACGTTTCTGGGCAAACTTCGAAACTTGCTTCTCTTGTCTCTCTCAAGTTGAATTTTGTCCTGTGAGCAACCGACTCCACGTCATCCCGACTGCTGCAACTGCTGTGTTGGAATAGCGGGATGAACACATGTCGCCATCACCTCCAATTGTCTTAAGCGGACACGCTTTTCCACGCCGTGCTTTCCTTCGCGCCGGGAACCATTCCGGCCACAAAGATCCCCCCCCCCCTCCGCAATCTCCCTCATCAACCCCCAGCCTCTGGCGCTCGCGTGGGCGGAGCGTGGTGCCGTGGCCCTGCCGTGTGGACTACCGTCGGCTTGACCCCTCTTGTCTCTTTTTTTGTCTTGTTTTTTTTTCTGTCGGGTAACACAACACTGCCCCCTCCCCAAAAGAAGACAGACAGACGTTCACAAGGGAAACAAGGACTACTTCGCCGTGGCGGCGGGTGGGTGCTTGCTGACGGTGTCGGCGCGCCACTCTGTTAAAAGGCGTTTAGCAGTTGCTCCACAGCAGTAAGGTTGAGGAATACGCCCTCTTCAATCTCAGGTACCGCGATCCTATATATCTCCCGCGAATCAACGAACACCCCCTAGATAGCGCGATGCTTTCCGGTGGCGGTTGTCCAACAATGAAATGCACACCGAGTGTACGTAGCGCCTGGATCGAGAATACACCGCTAGGAGAGGCGTTGCAGCGTAGTTTGCTTCCGCCTCCGATTCCCGTCTCGTTTTTTCCCCCGATACTCCTGTTGTTCTTGCCTGTGCGGGCGGTGTTGATGATGCGGTCCGACTCACGATATACCTCTGGCGGAACTGCTGCCTTGACGAAATATGCGCTGCTGTGCATTCAGTCGTTTACCCACCGTTCCTCAACGCGCAGAATTGTGTGTCCAAGCGCAGACTCAACGATCTTCCTCTATCCTACTTTTCTGAAAGCGACTTTGCCGCTGTTGAGAATAGCAGCAGCGCATTGGGGCTGAACATGACTAAAGATTTCCATCGACGGAAGCCTTAGCAAGTATTGCTGTTAGTAGGGAAAATCACCAAGTAGCAGTGCAACCGCACCGTGCTGTGCCCGAGTCTCGTTGTACCAATAGGGCTGGCGCGGTACATCAGGCGTATTTGTCTTCCTCAATCCGGGTCGTCTCGAGGTGGCCTTTGCCCAGACTTGCGCGTGGCACCGCGTGTTGCTGCTGTGTCCTGGCCGGTGGTCGGTGTCAGGGAGGGGCTACTGCTCTACCGACACCGTATTTTCACGCTCGCTCGCTTGTTGAGCATCTGGGCCACATCCGGGTGACTCATTTTTAGTGTTCATTGCGTGGAAACCCCGGCGTGTGTCGCGTCGTAGAGGGATCCTGGCGGTCCCAGGAGCAATATCTTGTTGCACGTGGGTGGACCCAAGTGCAGCGGCCGGCGAAGAGAATGTTCGCTGTGGCAAGCAGGCAGGCAAACGCACACTGCTTTTGTCAAGCCGCCCTCACGGAAGTTTTGAGTTCCGACCGGGCACCGAACAGAGTAGCCAAGAACACTCAACGACCGCGTTGAATGGCTATTAGCACCGGCGGAGTTGTTTGGTACCGCGCTCGAGTATGTCACGACGCACGTGTGGTGAACATGCCTCACTAGTGGTAGTTGAGCGGTGATTCGCCATGTCCAGCGTGCTGGCATGGCTCGTCCAGACGGGCAGCCAGTGGGGGGCTTGGACGCCCATGCAGAGGTGGAGATTCTGCGTTTCGACGAAGCGATGGCGCGTGAGCGATCTTCGTAACAAACCTCTTCCGAAAACATGTCATATTGTCGAATGCTTGACAGGCTTTCCCCGACCACGAAGCACATCATTCGTGCTTGCCGTTCCAACGCCATTTTTCTTGCCCACCCCCTCCCCCACCACGGGCTCACAGAACAAGTACTAA